CAGCAAACTCACTTGTATAATAGAATGTTGGAGTGTACGGGTCCCATAGCAAACGAATTTCTCCACACAGACAAACACCGCCATTGAATACACCAAAAAGAAAGCATGAAATCAGAGCTATCTAAAAGTTTTTTATTCAATGTCAAGAGAAGAGAATTCATCTAACACAGTTTATAAAGTATCGTACCGCTGTTTTTCTTTCGTTAAATATAAAACACATCCTTTTTGGGAATACTACGGCAACGAGCCGATTAAAAGCCAAAATGACGACTGTTGCATAACCCATAGCATACGACGCTTGTATGAGTGCACCCAATAACTAAAGTGTTTATGAGAAATCAAAACTCCTAGCAATTAACCCTTTGAACACTTGTGTCCTCGCTGTCATTCTTGTATGCAAACTAGTGGGCAAGAGTTGAAAATAGAAAAAGGACTGCATACCTTGAACCTTTATTACCACTTATTCACGACCATGTTTGAAATTCACGTAGACCTGTCAAGCGTGTTGCAGGATTTAGCCTGACTGCTTCTTTAGGGTATGTGGTAGTAAAAGCTTAGGAAAAATGAAAGGCTTTAAGCAGCTAGAGCATACCTCAGCATAGTGAATCGCCGCGGGCCATTCAATCATAAAAACCCACCGTATTCAGCGTTGGATGGATGACAGGAGTAATGAGAGTTGCGGCAACTACGACGACGTAAACCAGACAACTGATAACATCAGCAGCGGAGTCAAAATAGATGATACGGTAGGCAGAAAGAATCCACAGAGATTCTGACCGTCGAATAACCTATAGGTTATAGAATACACTAAGGAAAGCTCTTCAAAGAATTTGTAATGGTAATGTCCAAATGTTTATTTGAGCGCAAAAAAGCACAGGATAGACTGTCGTTACTAATTAGTGTTACTATATCAAAAATTTCGAAGAATAAAAATAAAAAAGTGCATTTTCTTACTAGCATCATGTTCAAATTCATTAATAAAAGTATAGAGCCGAAGATTATATAGGAGATGAAGAAATGATAGTGAAACGGATAATCGTAGCTGCCCATGCAGTTTCCTAAAATAAAATTTTTTACTCGGTTTAATGTTGAAATGGCGAAGCTTTTTCTAGAGAACTCAGCGCATTTCAAAAAACCAAAGTTCTCGAAAGTTATTCAGTACGGGTAAAAATTTCTCAGATGTACAAAATCAGTGAAACGTGCTTTATATAAGTTCAAAAATGCAGGGAGGGGGATCTCAAAACACTCAAAAAATGCTTTTTCAAGAAATTTTACGGCAGCTTAATTTTGAAATTATTCCTAGTTTGGTCATAACTAGGTTAAGTCGAGATTGACATGAAGTTATTTTTATCTCAAAGTTTCACTGAGAATACGCAGAAAATGAATACCATCACATCAAACATTGTTTCAAACATTCATAGGTTTCCCAGTCATTTCAGCAATAATCTTCCCTATAAATCTGCAAGTCTCTGAGCACCTCAGATACCCTATTACTTGGGAATTGTCACCACTAGTCACGAAACCACCTTTATCGCAAGTTGGTCAATACATGCAGGACGGCTCATTTTCCATTCGAGCGAAGCGCGATATCTCTGTGCAGTGAAATAAGTTTTCTAAAACAGTTACTCTATTCCCATGATTGCATTTCTATCAACTCTGATGTTGCTCAGTTGTATTATTCATTGGACAAAAATGTAATTTCTTTCTTTTTACTCACACAAGCGCCTTGTCAAAGCTTGGAAATCTCAAATTGGATGCAGTTTGATCAGCTAAATGCCTCCATAGCCCCAGCATGGAATTTCAAGCACCTAGACTGCAAACGCTCTGCTGACAAAGCAGCACTTATATACACTCAACGCTTCCTTTGAGTTTTTCACTAAATACACCACGTGGGGACCTGCCACATTTTTCTCATGGATTACCATATTCCGCGCAGCAACTTAATAGTTTAGGTATCGTGTCAGTACGCGTGTTAATGACATATTCCCCAGTGTGGCTTATGTCTGGTACGGAATTTGATCAACATGAACGTAGATGCGTTGAGATTTCCTTTTCGTGTGTGAGGATGATGATTTCTTTTTCAAAATCTTCTTCATTATGTCTCTGTGTTCTACACGTTCCTATTAGGGCATTCATTCTAACTTAATCTTTAGCGACTGAGTGTTACTTTTTATGAGCGCAGAGTGGTTTGTCGGTTAGATCGATGTGTTCTTCACAGCATGCCTTAGTAGAAATTAGATTAACCGTGTCCGAACTTGTGCAATCGCCGTCTCAACCGATAGTGTATATTATACAAATTTCTATTGTGCACAGACAGTCACAGCGTTATGAACTAGCTAGCGTTTGAGAATATGCAGTAGTTTTTCAATCACTATCAACTACTTCTCTATAAACTTATCTCGATAAGTTATCGACAATTGCGAAGCCGTCAGAGATGAATATTTATCTCACTGTTTCCGCGAACTCCACTATTTACTCTCTCCTTGTGTGCTTAACATTACCTGTCTGAAACATGTTTGTCACAAATTTCCCTCTAGTGTGTGAAGGGTGAGGAGACAGGTCATGAAGAGGATAATTTGTTACTTGGCATTCTGTACCACTGGACGATCTACCCGCGTTGGATAGTTTAATTTGAGTGATTAGAGATGAGTGTCATTTTTATGTTTCTATCGGGAGAAGTTAATGAGCTTGACCATTCGTTCAACAACTCTTAACAGTTGCCCATCAGTTCTTACGTAAGGCAGATGTCAAAGCAGTCATCTATATATCTACAGTGGGCCAACGACCGCAGATCTATTGCTGGAACTTGCAAAATAGATATGAATCATCTGTCTGTTGAGACTCGGGGCCAACTCGACCCATTGCTAGCCCTCTCAGTTGAGGTTGTGTAGGTATTTGGCTGCCTGGATTGCAATCAATAAAACCTCTATGGCCTCTGAAAAATATGAAATCTTCTAAAGCTTAGCTTATGCGAATAAAAGCTGCAGTAAAGATCTAGTGATTTCCAAATAGGATAAACTATGAGTCAGTGCATTAATCGGTTTCCAAAGATGAAGAAAAATGAAATCACACATACAAAAGGTGCAGATACTGGAGGGCGAAGTTTAAGAGTCTGTTCTTTACGCATGGGCACTATAAGCGTCACGCGTTCAGTAGTGTATTACAGATCGTAGAGATAACGAAATGTACATTTCATTGTGCAGTGATTTCTCGGCTTCAGAGATATATCTAGGTTGTGCTCCTTTTTATAAGTTTAGAATAATTCGATAGCAATGTTCAAGTCTCAGAGGTACAGTGTAGCGCTGCCGTTTTTGAGAGATGTGTCGCAAACTATTTCAAACTACTACGCTTCTACGCATGTCGGAGAACCGCCGATTCGTGTAACCAAAAATCAGAGACAAGCTATCTTACTAGCATTGTACAGAATTAACAGTTAGCAAAAAAGATAGGTTAACCGAGCCTGCTTCTTCAAATTTATATGTTCCACTTGAAATGCACTAATAGAACAGTCTATTCCAGAAACTTACACCTAAACAATTTGACGGTCAGAAGAGATGTCGTGATAATGGCAGAGGTGTAAAACGACATTTGAGCTCTACGAGGGTTCGCTTCACTGAGGTACGTTATGTATAGTTGAGCCATAACATTATTACTTGGTAAATCTAAACTCAATTACAAAAACACATACATATAAACTTTCGTTTCGAGTGCTTTCTTAAGACCACAGCTCAAATTTCAATATGCCAAATAATCATTTTTGAGCCACGCATGTCAGTGGTCTGTCAAACAGGGCTGACTTATAGAGCCCGATATACGTATTTCGATCTTGCGATCTCGTCAGTCGAGCAGTTACGCTTTCTCGTCTTTTGCTAACTTTGGTCGCGAACTCTTAGTGTGGGGACTGGAGCACCCACACGATTGGCAAAAGACGAGAAAGGGTAACTGCCCGACTGACGAGATCGCAAGATCGAAACACGTGTATCGGGCCCTATAAGTCAGCCTGTTTGACAGAACACTGACATGCGTGGCTCAAAAATGATTGCAAGACATATAAATGCACTTATATTCATGTTTTAATATAAATGCGACTCTATTAGAGAGAAAAAGGAACGAAACTGCTTTGATGGGATATTCTTGCTGCAAATACTATTTGATTCAATAACTTAATTACTAGCCTCCAGCTGAAAAATACTCATTTTCACCTCTTTTCAGGGATAGAGTGTTGTTCAATTATGCCGCGTAATTATGTTACAGTATAATGATTGTAAACAGCTGCAGGCGTTTGATGTTTACCCGTGATACCTCAAATTTGCAAAGTGTATTTACTTAAGTACTGTGGTAAACTAACGGTAGGACCAAACGTAGTCAGAATAGGTGGGGAACTGCTAATCTCATCAACTTAAGATCTACTTGGGAGAGCAATCTTCTGTTTACGTTAAGCGCGCTTGACACGTGGTAGTTTCATAACATTTAGCAGTTGTTCCACGTTTTCTTTGAGAATAATTACAAATACGTAGGGGAAAAATCTTACACTAAACAAAGTTTTTGTCCTAATTAACGTTTAGGTACAGTTGTCATTACGGAATACAAGTGAATCGCAAGTGGAGTGGAATTTTCGTTATTTAAATGAGGGCTTTTTCTATACTTATTCAGAGATATCTTAGGTTACTATTGCTCATATGATGCTCCGTGTTCTAATTCACACTTATCCATATTTCACTGCACATATAGCTTTTTTATTTAAAGAAAAAGCCTTTGCTCACGATAATCATGTTACTCAAAATTTCTAATGTTTTGACTGAATTTTTGACTGACTGAAAACATAGTAACATTGCTAAAAAATGCGGTCCATACATTAGAAACCTGAAGTATTAGTTATGACAATGGCTGTCAGCTCAACTGGGTTTATAAAGCGAAATCGCATACCCGACCAAACCCGCTAGAGGTTGGTGTCTGATAGCTTATATAGAGATGTTGAAGAATGAGTGGTTGGGAAATGTGTCTCTGTAGTGTAGTGGTAGAGCACGCGTCCCTGAATAGAACGAAGCACGGGTTTGATTCCTGCCTAAGGCCATGCATTTGCTCACCACTGAATTTTCTTAGGTGTATTGGAAACAATCTTAAAATCAATCAATTTTAATAGGTTGTTCAAAGACAAATGAAACCTTTTATTCTGCACTTTTTATTTCGTACAATATACAAAAGTCAACATGATTTAATATTGAACAAGAATGAACATTTCGACAAGGCAGATGTTTCACAGTGCATGCGATGCTAGTTCATTGACAACCCACAACATTCTTCTATATTAGCGTATTTGAGAGGTCGAGAACTTACAGATTCACATAATGAGTTTTGGTTTATTGCTTTGTAAGTTATACACCTTCTGTATATCCGCTGTTCTGCATTAAGAACTTCTTTCATCGTGGCGTCTTTTGTCAGTTTTCATGCCCATTTTCTAGGGCCTCTACAGGGATCCACCTTCACTGGATGTTTTCCACCACTCATAACAGTGTCAGTAGTTCCTCCACTGCATGATTCATCTCAAGCATATATTTATAGTCCTTATATGAGAAGAAGACCTGGGATGAAGGACATAGGATAAAGCTCTCGATCTTGACCAATTCCCAAGGGTTGAGCCGAGCATTTGTCTTCCATTTTGAGCCTGTTTGAGGTATTGAATCTATATCTGGTTTTTACAATGATTCGCGCTGACCTACCGATATTTGAATCACTGTTGCTATCATCCCAGACAATCTAGTACGAATCTGTCAAACTCGAAGGTATACAAAAGTGGGTGAGCCTTGAGCGCGAGATCGGACTATCGACCATCAATTGATCATCATGTGTGCCGCATAGCACTTTTAACGACTACGCCGCACCGCACGCGCTCTTGAGAAGAGTTGTTAGACGGATACTTATGGGTTGAGAAATAATTCTGTACGAATAGAGGCAGTTGAATCTTAGGAAAATTATCAAGCAGTATAAACATCTTGTTTGTTCAATGTTAGGCCATGCCAAGTTCAAACCCATATGTTAGGTATGGGCATATTTCGATCTGCAAAAATGTGACTTCAACACCTCCACAACTCGTTGGGATGACTGATTGTAATAATCATAAGATCAACGAGATCAACGAGCCGTTCTTCAGAAATGATCCTGCACATTGCAATGCGATCTCATGCCAGCGATGATTCGAGAAAAACTTAATAATGTCAGTGGACTTTAGGAATTAGGACTTTTATAGAGTTGTAGAAGAGAGTTTGTTCTTTTGTCTCATGGGTGAAAACTTTTTATAGATTGACATTAACTCTGATATGAATAATGTTTCATCTTTGCAACTTGGATTTGAGGCCAATGCTTTTTTTTTTGCAACGCCACATTTTTAAGGGAAAGCAGATGCTTAAGAAAAGGTCATAACTTGCATTCTTATTAAACAATTTTATGCTTTCCTGCTTATATTTATCTATATTTCACTCATGTTTATCATGCATTTCTTATACAAACAGCAAATCACACAAGTGATCAAACGACATAATGCTCACTGCAAGGACTGCCAGTCAACTTTTTATGAGCAACTTTTCGAGTACGCAGATTTTGTACTGAATAGTAGAAATTTTTGGGACATGGGTATTTCTTCCAATGAAAATCCACTTATCGACAAATTATTCTTAGAATGCACATTTCACTGATAGTACCAAAAAATCCTTGATGAGGTTGAAATAATGCACAAAAAATTGAAAGAATAAAGTCACAGCGTTGATCAGTCCGTGAGGGACGCACCATGCATTTGTCTTCAATGTTTAGCTTCGTTTGAGGTGACTGTATCCGATGATCCGGTCTCTAAATTGCCTTGTGGCGGCCCACCGATATATCCAGCTAGTGCTGCCTATCCTCTCAATCAAGCGTGGCACTATTTACCAAACCCTCAGGGATGGAAGGCTTGGGGAGCCATGAGGGCGAAATCGAACCGTCGATCTTCTATGCGACACATAGCACTTCTAACTACTGCGCCACATACAATCTTGAGCAAGAAATTATCTTTTTTCCAGCAAAGCATGTTATGAGGATCTTTCCCTAAAATCAGGTTCAGTATTAGATTTAGGAGCTTTCGAGCTGTTGGATGGCTACTGATAGTCTAATGAAATGCTCTGCTGAGTGAAAAAGAAACGGAAACAGAAATATTTTCCACACAGTACGGCTGAATTCCATGCAATTCGTAAGGAATAGTGGAAATTTTAGAGGAGGCTATGCGAATTTTTCTCAAGAGATACGTTTACATCAGTCTCTAGGATAATACTGTGTTTTTTGCAGCGAAAAAGCTTACTTAGTATTGAAATTTCACTATAGCATACCGAACATACGTTGTGAAGTTGAAAAATGAACTGCGATGGCAAAACGTTATCTGTTTTATTGGCTAATTGGTTAGTAAAACGTAGTATGAAGGTCGAATCACAAACAAGATTACTATCAAAATCGGCACTTCTTAAGCTGCACACCAATCACACCCTGACAATAAATTTAAGGTTATTCCTTTGACAGCAGAGTGTACTATTCTCATACGCGGAATTTTTCTGTGGTTTTTTGCCAAGCAGAACTTTTTTTCTATCGTAGACTTTCAATAGCCATTCGATAGTCTAATAATGGATAATTTTAAATTGGACTTCGTTTTCGAAGAGGTCCTCTCAGTGAGCTGTAGCAGCCAAGAAAAAATTACATTTCATCTTCGGGGCGCATTGCTTGCTGGAATGACGCCTGTACTTAGCTTTACAGCAGAGCATGATAACGTGGGTTACGGTGATTTTAACATTAAAAAGTTCTTCTTAGTGGGCTGTAGCAGCGAAGAAAATGTCACGTTTAGCCCCTGCACTAGTTAGCCCCGTTAAACTCCATAGAGATTCATTGCCAATGAAAGTTTAGATCTAGGGCACTGTGTTGCCACAAAAAGCGAAACAATCACCGAAGAGGCTTCTGTGAGGGTATTCTTGTAAAAAAGAGAGCACCCATGCCTTCTGTAAAGTCAGTTTCTCAATGCGAAAACTTCACCTTCAAGAAACCATAGTTCCAGCCGTAGCTGTACGTTTTATAGACTGCCCGATAAGAATATAACTTGAGGGCACATATTCTACAATCCAGGGTTTATACTAGACTTGTGGAGTGTCTTCAATGTGTAGCTGGAGTAAGCGTAAAAGAGCTCGCATGATCAACTGCGTGAAGTACTTCTTTGGAGAGGATGCGTATTCCTATGCAATATTTGTAAGCATCTTGTCGGCTGTAAATTTCTTGACTAAGTTACGTATGCGATAAATAATAACTTTCACAATTGGCAGCGGTCAATAACGGTCTTGGAAAAATCAGCACCAGTTGACAGTTTACCCCTCTTGCGTAGAACTTTACTTCTCACATATAAGAGCTTCCTCAAAAATAATCAGCAGTCAGTTAGTACTTCCTCGAATAACCAACAGCTGCTACTCTTGATAATAATCAACTTGTAAGCTTATATTTGCACCAATACTTACTTACTTAGATACTTAGATGGTTCATCTTCACTAATTGTGCGGATTCCAGCACATATTCCAAATGGTATATTGCTGGTTGTGCATATGATATTCCTTGGTTTCTGACGTAACCTTGCAAGGGAGTTTTCAGGTCTTCACGATGACGCTCTCAAAGAATCGGACCTTCGGCGATGGATCCTTGACCGGGCTTTCTAGTTGTTGATTTGGTGATGATGTTAGGCCGAAATCAAAAGCAGAAGCAGGAAAACAAATCAATCGACCGCTTACAGATGATGTAAAAAGCAAAATATGCACCAATATGCGAATGAAAGTCTATAGGTGTAGTATACAGTTTCCAAGTCGAATATTTTAAGCGTTTATGATAACATTTCTGATGAACAGAGTTAAATAACTGTGAACAAATATGGTTCTACATTAGCTGCATCGCGCTCTAGCTGTGTTTGGAGCACATGCAGTTTCTTCATCCTCTATTAACTTTTTGTAGCATTGAACGCAACGTTTGAATCTTGGAGGATTGGATGAAATCTTTTTGAAAATACGGCTTGCTAGCACCTGAGGAACAGTGTATTGCATGTGTATCTGAGGTAAACCTCTCCTTTGGATGCGTTTAGTTATTATTCTATTTTCCAAGCCTTCTTCTTCAGAGATGACAAAACTATTACTTGAAATATTTACCTAGAACATACTTCTCCTCACAGGCTCCAGGGTTAGCAGCCTTACAATAGTATTCAAATAACTGACCCTTTTTTCATCAAATTCGTGACAACTTTTCACATTGATACACACAAACTTTAATTTTTTGTTGCACGATCCGTTCATCACTAAGTGATCATTAGATTATTCAGCAAGTATGGAGAGTTGAGAATAGAACCCTTAGTACTAAAAATCCACAGTCTGCTTAGCTCCACTTTCACTACGAGACTGCTGCCCGTAAAGTTTCGGAAAAGCCTAGATTGACATCCAGCAAAGCAAGGGTTTGTAGTATTCCATTGTGCTAGATATTAATGAGAATTTTGATGTAGCCGCATTTTGGTTCGTGGCAATGAATCAACATTATAGTAATACCTTCTAAGAGGGAATCTCGACACTGAACAACAATTTTTCTGAGCGGACGCTGCACTGTTACGAGATCATTTATCTACAGAACTTATGTTTTAGCGGATTTAGCCTTCTAAAAACCTAGAAAGTTGAACTGCTCGCAATCCAGTCACCCAAGCGCTTTTTATCACCTCAAGAGAATGTATTCAATAGGTAAATTTTATTGGTATAAGGAACAGCTTCTCTTGAACAAGTACTGTTTCATTCCTTATGAGTCTTCCGACCATTGTTGGAGCCAGGGGTGACGATACGGTTGCAGAAAAGGACAGCTAGGAAATGGCCAGCCAAGTTCGGAACTGGAAGGAACACTCTGGTGGATCAGTCGCGTTTGAGCCATCCACAGGAAACTTGTATAATCTTGTGCGCCGTTTCACTAGCGTTTTTCCCTTCGGGCCATTCGTGCATCGATAGCAAACGAGTTGTTCTCATGACAGCTCCATCTCAATGCAAACATAG